TTTTTTAATTTTATTATAATTAATAATATAATAATATATAAATATAATATTAATATATATATATATAAAAAAATTTAGAAAAGTTTGGGGGAGCCGTGGCTCCCCCCTGTCCCTATGAAGATCCGCCCCTGCGCAGTAGGCTATCCTTGTGTGTTCAGATTTGCAATTTATGTCTAATTCTCTACAACACAAAATTTGGCTTTTGTAATGGAGCTATTTCACATATTACCCTCGTTCGTACTACAAATGGTCTTTCTTTTATATGAGGTCAATGTCTTGATCAAGTAGTATTACGTTTATACTTAAAGCCAAAAAAATAAAATAAGAGAGTAAAAACAAATAGTCATTTCAAAAGGTGCATTTTCAGTTTTTCACCTAATGTGCAGCAACTGCATTGTGGTAGATTGAGATCTTTCGTTAGTACTTCACATCCCCATTGCTTATGGTTGCTTAGAAGTGAAAACTCTGTTCTTATAGTTATAACATATAACTAATACGAACTATTAGTATTTTGGAAGAAAACTTTAAATTTAGACAAATCATAACCAATATAGACTATAAAAGATCACAGGAAGGCATATTACTGGTCATAATTGAATTGGTTGTCATTTTTAAGTACAAGTGCAAACTCTGTTCTTATAGTTAAGCCTGTTCACTTTAATACTCTGTGCTTGCTTTGTTAAGATTGTGTATAATCAACTACTTTTGCATTGAATTCTGTGCCAGGTTTGTGCTAGATTGAGATAAATTTGCTCTGACTATGGGTGTATCTGGGAGGTGGATTAAAGCATTGGTTGGTCTAAAGAAATCAGAAAAGCCAGCCTCTTCAGAGAAGGGTGGAAATGTTAGTTTCACTCTCTCTCTTTCACATAACACTTCATGCTTTTATTCCTGAGTTTAAGACTTTTAGTATTTCTTTTTAGTATTTCTACCCACACTACCAGGAAAAAAAAAGCAATAAAGTTTTGTTGCTTGGGTTTCAACTAAGTGGAAAAAAAGTATTGTTTTTTTCTTATGTGTTTGTGAGTGTTATTGCGGTTACTGGACATTTAGTGGTGTTGTTTTGATTCTTCAAATGTTATAGCATGGTTCACCTTGATTAAAGTAGTTTTTGTACTGGTCATTTCAATTCTAGTATGTGCTCAAGGAATTTTCCTCTTGCAAACTATGTAAACTGAATTTAGTAAAATTTAAAACCAGACCTACTATAGATAAGGAGAGAGTTGTTGGAAAGTCTCACATTGTCTGCCTTAATTACTAGGATGCAATTTAAATACCTGTGGGGAAACTTCACTTTATGTCATTTGATTTAAGGGGAGACATTACATCCCCTAAAGTCCTAAACCGATGGCAAAAACCTCACATTGCTTGGGCAATTCAGAGACAATTGATTTTAAGATGAAATCTAATAAGATCCACCCAAGGAGGTGGTTTTTTTAGCATATGAGAGAGGCCACTCAGGTTTTCCCTTATCCCAAAGAAGTTCCTCTGGTTCCACTCCTGTATAAATTACTACACATTACATATTGTAAAATGACGTTTTTTTTTTTAACTTCTCAATGGTAAGAAGGTTGGCAAGTTTCATCATCAGAGAAGGCATGTTGTTGAACTTGATAATGGTAAACATCCAACTGAATTGGAGAATGATGCTACTCCACCTATTGGAGATGACAACGGCCATGCAAACCTTGACACCCATGATTCATCTTGTTCTTCACAACAAGCACACGATGCTTCAGATAATCAACAAATGAGAGAAGAATGGGCTGCAATATGCATTCAAACAGCATTTCGAGGATTTCTGGTAAATTTCATATTAAATTTGGCTTAATGTACATGAGCTGAACTGAAATCCTTTATTGAAGAAGTTGCGTAAACTGAAATTGCTATCTTAAAATATATATTTTTTTTTCAATGCGACTGTAGAGCAGTGCTTATGCAATACCATTTATTTTTGTTTTCCCCCCCTTTTTTATTCTTTAGGAGTCTATCTTATTCTCCAAAAATTATTTTTGGTATTGAAGAATCAGGTATTGTTGTAGTTGGCATTGGCAATAGTGATTTATCTACCGCTAGGATGTCATATTTCTGGAATTTAATTGATTTTTCTTTAAGATGCACTTCAGATTTATTTTAGGCTTCCACCCCCGCCTTTCTTTTATTTGCTCCAGTATTTGTTCTGAGGGTTGTAATGAAAAATTTTCAGGACTTCTATTGCTAACAACTTTGACCTAGCTGAAAAATTGTGTTTTATGTATCAGGCCAGAAGAGCACTACGGGCTTTGAAAGGTGTGGTAAGGCTTCAGGCTCTGGTGAGAGGCCATGCAGTGAGAAAACAAGCTGCAATAACACTCCGTTGTATGCAAGCTTTGGTGAGGGTCCAAGCCCGTGTTCGGGCAAGGCGTGTTTGCATGTCATTGGAAACTCAATCAACACAACAGAAACTTCAGCAAAACCTTGCAAATGAAGCTCGAGTTCGAGAAATAGAAGTAAGGACAGAGGAGTACTGTTCTGAAAGTGACATTACTTTTTTTAATTGTGGAATATCTTCATCTCTTTCACTATTGTTTCCTTGTCATCCATTGAGAAATTGAGCATGAATTTGAGATATCTATTTGATTGTTACGTTTAGGCAAGAGGATTTACCCTTTTCCCCCTTGCTACTTGTCACTTGGGTCTAGTTGCAATAAATTTCAACATAATGTAGTCTTTTGGATCCAATGTTATTTTGGCATTTTCTGGGCAATCTGTCATTCTATATTTAGTTTTTATGATGAGTACATGCTTTCCCTGATTATATTAAATCAATTTACATGTAGATAATTATCAGAATGCTAGTGTTTTGCTAAAGCAGTATACTAAACTAAAACTGGTATAAACTGTGCCTATAACAGTTGAATATTGTGTGCTGGTTTAATTTCTTTGAGACATTTCTGATGGGAATATCAGGATAAGAAACATAGAACTTGGACTAGGTTAAAAATTAAAAATCCACGGAAGCTGTGCAGTAGATTCTGGAGGGTGTATTGTGAGAACAATAATAAAGAGGGGGGAGATTTTGGGGGCTTGGGAATCAAGAGACACGTTTGAGAAAAATCATATGGAGGTAAAGCCAGTTATAGAAGCTGAAAGGGGGAAAAAATAGAAATAACTGGACCTGAGGGAACTGCTCTTCAAATAAGAAAGAATAGTGAACAGTTACAGAATAATACTGTCCCAACTCCCATTCTAGTTAAAAAGTCCCAGCGCCTCTGAGGGGAGTTCAATAATTTCTTGCAAGGAACTTGGAAGTAAGGACGCGAAGAGGGAAAGGTATCACATGCAAAACCCAAAACAAATTTCTATGATAATTCCATTCTGATTTTGATCTAGTTGCATATGCATCACATTTGTGCACAGAATGTTTTCATAAAGGTAGTAATTGCATAAAGAACTGTATTTACAAAATGTCGTAGTGCTTGGTTTGATATAATGTAATTAAATTTCAGTTTTTTTTTTTAATCAAATTATCTGTTTGAGGGACCTCGTGACTTATATATACAGGAAGGATGGTGTGATAGTGTAGGATCTGTTGAAGAAATTCAGGCTAAAATATTGAAGAGACAGGAGGCTGCAGCAAAACGTGAGAGAGCCATGGCATATGCTCTATCTCATCAGGTGAATTTATAATAGCATGTTGTTTAACTATGTGTGCAGCGAGTGTTATACATTAGTTAAAATTTTCTGCAACCTGCACAATAAGAAATATCAGAAATTTGTAATTTCATTAATTCATTTGCCATTTGCCTTCAAGCTATTCTCCATAAGGAGACATAAGAAATTGCTTGTTATATCCTATGCAAGTGTTGTAAACTCAATCCGAAGTTTTGAATGGTCTGACTCAGACAAATTTGTTTTGTATAAAGAATTATAAAAAAGTGTACTAAATTTGGAAAAAAAAATTTCTCAAGAAGAAAATTATTGGACCAATTCAAACATTATTCAATCAGGCTGCTTAGTTTTGTAACTTCTAATAAGTTATATTCGTAATGTAACATATTAACATAGTACGTTACTTGATGATGTTATCAAGTGGGAGTGAACTTCTAGAATTAAGAGGAACTCAGAACATTGTCCAACAATTTCCTCATCACATGATCAGCAGCTTTGCATTCATTATAGTATCCATTTTCCTTTGATACACGGTTTTGGTCCACAGGCTTGGTGTAAGATTTTTCAAATTTTCCCCTTGGCAGTGGCAGGCAGGATCAAGACAGCAGACTGTTTCCTCTGGATTTGAACCAGATAAAAATAGCTGGGGTTGGAATTGGTTGGAAAGATGGATGGCTGTCCGTCCATGGGAGAATCGCTTCGTTGACATTAATATGAAGGATGGAGTAACGGTACATGAAAATGGAGCTAAGGATGATATAAATGGAACCACACCTCAGTTGGGCTCTGCTAACAGGAAACCGTCCTCATCAAACACTCATCTAAACCCGACAAGTCAGGGAATGGGTCCCACTATTTCTGATGGCTGTGATTCTTCACCTAGTAGGTCTGCAGGTTTGCTAGAGTCATCAAACACACAGCCTGTTAAGCCAACTTCTAAGGCAAATGGCGAAAATACTGTTGAAGAAGTTAACTCAAAACCTAGAAATGGGTCAAGATCTCAAAGTAATCCAAAGGAGAGAACATCACAGGCAGATAAGCAGGGCAAAAAACGATTATCTCTGCCTAACAATGGTGAGTATTCTTACTGTTCATTTTATTTTTTCTTGTACATTGGGGGTCTGAAAGCTGCTTCGGGAAGTTGGAACAATTATCAGGTAAACTATAATATAGATAGACTAACCCCAATCATTGCATTCCACTTCAGCTAGTTTGAGTGAGAGACTGACAACTAGGTGCATTCACTCATTTACAGAGGTTGACCAGCATTGTAGAGGACCCCAAACCTTAAATTGATAACATGAATCTCTGTTGCAAGAGCAATGCTATTTTTCACGATTTTTTTGGTGAAGGGTTTTACGGAAGTAAAGATGACCAGTCACTTTAAAGAGTTTTGTTATGCGTTGTTCATTCTTATGGAAATGTTGCAGAGAAGTTTTCTTAAATTTCAGCATATCTTTCTAAATTTGTAGAAAGTAGAAACCCATTCCTCCGCATTCACTATGGTTTGAGCTATCCATTCTAACATCACTGAGTTAGTTAGTTGTATAGAATGATATCACTGATAATTCCTAAACCCCCTGAGGAATTAATTTGCAATTTTGATTAGAAATTTTAGTAACCGTCTTTATTTCTAAAATTCTTGTGTTGATGAAAGCCTAGTAAGCAATCTGAAAATCCAGTTGGCTGCTGGATTATGTCAGGATAAAACCAGGCTTTGCTTAATATTATCTCTGATCTCTGTTGAGCAGGGGGTGGTGCTGGATCTCAAACAGTCAGACACCCTATTAGCACCAATGTGAAAGGGACGCTAAGCACGCAAAAGTCTAGTAGAGATAAACCTAAGCTCAATGGAAGAAGGGATGCGAATACAAAATCAGTTCCATAGTTCAATGGAAGAAATGATGTGAACATAAACACACGGATATATAGTTTGGAGAATCTCAAATAAGGGAAATCACTATATTCTCCATTGATATATGGCCATTTGTTGTTCCTTGCATATAATGTGAAGCGGTGAGGGCTTTGTACTTGGTTCATCCACGAAGATGGTGATGTGGTTTTACAGTTTTGAGATTGGCTTGGGTTGTGATGGGAATAAGATTTGTCTGGTTGATACAAGTTTGTTTTATTTATGCATTATTTGTTGTGGTCTCTGGTCAGAATGTCAATTATGTGATAACGTGATGTATTTATATCCAAATGTACACCTTTCAGTGTGCGATTGCCTCCCGAGGCATTGTATTGTGTTGCCAGCTGTTCTTTAGTGAGTATACTTTTCCTACACATACACACTTCTGCGTAGATTTGATTATTTGATCATAATTGGTTATGCCTTATTTTCTGTACAATTCTCACTCTGATTTTATCATATTACCAAATGTTAAGTGATGTGTTTGATAAGGATATTACAAATAGATAATTGCCTGAAATTTGGGTTAAGATTGTCCTAGGTCCAAAATCCCAGCAGTCATGATGAAAAGCAGATCTAGCAAAGCAGGTAGATGACTTTCGCGTTCGTGAATTAATTAAAATCTGATCCAGGCGGTGGTGGGGTTCCTGATCTGCCCTCCGAATAGTCAGCGGATTTTGCTAGCTTTATTATTCTTTGATTGGTTTGTATACATTTAATATTCATTGAATTTTAATCTTATTGCGGTATAATCCATTATTTAATGCTGTGTAATTAATTTTATTAAAAATGTATTAGTACAAAATTAAATTTCATTTATGTCCTTTCATAACTTTTAGAGTTAATTTTAAAAATAATTTTTCATAATTATTAATTAGTTGATAGTTTAACTTTTCTATATTAATAAAGTGTAGAATTTATTTTTTATGCATAGCAATACGATTTTCAACATATTTTTTCTTATGATCTTTTTTATAAAAATAGAATCTTGCGGTGGTGATTTAGCGTAATATTGTTATCGTTAATATCTTTTAAAAAGAAAGCAACAAATTAATTACTCGGTAGGTAGGTGAAAGAAACCGTAATAATTATAGGTTAGTTGTTATTTTGTTTAGTTTTTGTTCCAGATAATGATATAGTCTGAAATTTGAATTACGAAAAAAAGAAAAAGTGCGTACGTTAGATGTTGTACGGTGAGATGGAGCAGTTACAGTAAAAAGAAAAATCCGAAATCCGAACCCGTCCCTCTCTCCCCCTGCTGTACCCACCCTACCCACCATCCTCCCCTCCTTTCTTCCAATCAAGAAACGGAAACCTACTCATAAGTCACTGATGAGAAAACAAAGTCCGAAGTGGAAGAAAAAGAGGAACCTAGAAAAGGCAGTGGAGTAGAAGAGGAATCAATCAATCAATCAGAATTGGAGACCGGAATAAGAGCGAGAGGCATAGGCATTATAAGTGGGCGAGGGTGTTGGCGCAGTGGAGCATAAGCATTGTGGGAAAGCCAATGTTGTCAAGCCCATTTGTGCTGACCTTCTCCCTCCTCCTCTCCCTCCCAATCCTGTTCCTTCTAGCACCAAGAATCCTGCCACCACGGCCACACACGAACCCCATCTCCCCCTCGGACGAACTAGATGACCTAACCCTCTTCAACCGCGCCATCGCCCACTCCCACTCCAACCCCAACCACAACCCCTCCAAATACTTCCACCTCTCCTCCAAAAACCCCTCCCTCAAAATCGCCTTCCTCTTCCTCACCAACTCCGATCTCCACTTCTCCCCCCTCTGGAACCTCTTCTTCCACCAAACCCCCCCAAACCTCTTCAACATCTACGTCCACGCCGACCCCTCCGTAGCCAACCTCACCCTCTCCCCTCCCTTCCTCAACAAACTCATCCCCCACGCCAAACGCACCTTCCGCGCCTCCCCCACCCTCATCTCCGCCACCCGCCGCCTCCTCGCCACCGCCCTCCTCGACGACCCCGCCAACGCCTACTT